AGTTTTGATGCAAAAACGCATGAGCGCACCGGCTCGCCTGGTGCGTTCCAGCCTTTGTTTTGCATGACGCCCGGTCGTTGTCATGCATTTTTGCCTATGTGCAAATTCCAAAAACGCATATTGCGACGACCCCGTGTGTGTATGTTTGTGTGTATGTGTGTGTGTTCGTCTGTCCGGGTATTTTAACTCGGTAACCAAGCAAGATACGGCGCCAAAATTTTGCCAATTAGTTCTCCGGCCTTGTACCACCCCAGGACCGCGGTGCCAGTACTGCGTGGTTCTCACGTATGGCCTCGTGAAAGTTTTTGGCGGGGAGAATTGCTAGCTTGGGAGCCAGGAAAGTTAGGAGGCTGAAATTTTAACGGGATGTTATCAGCCCACGTACAACTTAAAGATTTCAAAACCAGGTGCGCAGGTCACTTACGGCCCTGTGAAAATTCTGGCGGAAAAATTCCTAACTCGGGAACCAGAAAAGCTAGAAGGCTGAAATTTTAGAAGAATATTCCCTGCTCAAATACAACTTAAAAGTTTCAAATCCAACCTCCAAGTACGCGTGGTTCTCGTATAGGGGTACTTAAATTTTTTGGTGGGGAAATTGCTCATTGGACAGCTGGGTCATTTTCAAAAAGCGACCGCTAAGTGGAAATTGTTTATTTTCGTTTATGCAAATTTACGATGATTTACGGTATTGAGTGCACAACGTAGGAGTGAAGCAACAACCATTCATGCAGTTATCCCAGTTATTTCAAGTTTGGCGCTAAAAACGCATAATCGCACCGACAAGCCTGGTGCATTTCAGCCTGTGTTCCGATAAACGTTTGCTTTTTGAAAAAATGCAATTACCAGAGTTCACTGAAAAGTGGAAATGTTGCTGTAGCGATCGTTCGTCAAATCATTGGCGAGCGCACTAGGCGGGCCTGTGCGATCATGCGTTTTTGCAGTATTTCATGCTATAATAAGATCACTCGAAATTCCGCTAGCTAGAAACCTCTTGTACATATTGGTCCTCGAATTTCGGGAAGTTAATTATCCACGCTATATTTGGACAGGGAACATTCCCTTGGAATTCCAGGTTCCCAGCTTCCTCAGTTCCCGAGTTACCCAAATTCCAGCCAGAAAATTTCACGACGACGTACGTGATTTGATAAATTTTAGTTGTAGATGAGTTGGAAACATTTCCTGGAAGTTTCAGACTCCCAGCTTTCTTGGTTCCAGAGCTAGCGATTTTCGCGCCAGGAACCCTCACGGGGCCGTACGCAGGAAACTCGCACACCTGGGAGCTGAATTTAAAATCTTTAAGTTCTATATGGACGGGGAACATG